GAGTGGGCAAAAAGTCTCATTTATCGAGTTGTTTGAAACTACATGTGCTCATGTACAAATTTTCAACGTGAAATTTTGCCAAGCAAAGGTAAACCGTGACGCGGAATGTGGCGTGTGGACACTCCACACTCCAGAGGAAAGCACGTCTGAAATCCCTTCCCGTTCTATCATTGCGCGCGGCGATACTCACTCACGTACATGATTTTCCATATGTTTTTGCAGATAACACGATAAACCGCGCGCAATAACGTCTGTGTATGGCCAGCTAATGATGTACGCCACAATCCAGAGGAAAGCACGTCTGAAATACCTTCCCGTTCTATCATTGCGCGCGGCAATACTCACTCACGTACATGATTTTCCATATGTTTTTGCAGATAACACGATAAACCGCGCGCAATAACGTCTGTGTATGGCCAGCTATTGTCCCATACAAACTTTGACGTTAGGTTTTTATACTATTTGATGCAATTTTTCGATTACTCAGTTCGGCTACTATTAAAAGGTGTACCTCTCAAACTTTGATAAAATAAACCGTTTCCGAGATATTCGAGATTACTATAATTGTTATTTCGCATTAAAGGATTAAAAGGTACAAATTTTTTAATTGAAAATACCACAATTTTTTTAATGTGACGGTCAGGGCAAAAAGTCCCGAGGCTCATGGAATGCCCTTTTTAGTTTTTTCAATTAAAAAATAAAATTTGTTATCATATATCCTTTTAAATAATGCGATATAACAATTATTGTAATCTCGAGTATCTCGAAAACGGTTTATTTTATCGAAGTTAGAGAGGTACACCTTTTTAATGGTAGCCGAACTGTGTAATCGAAAAATTGCATCAAATGTTATAATAACCTAACCTCAAAGTTTGTATGGGACAGTTTCTACGACACTGTGTTCACTCAAACAATTGTAATTATGTGTAAATATGTGTTTTGGTAGTAAGTGACTGTTCGCAAAATATAACCTTTCCAAGACTACCATAGTAGAAGTTATATTAAAAAAACTGATTTGATAGGTAACACTTTATCACTCTGTATCTTGGAAACATAAGTAATTAGGAAAAATATTTATTTAGGTTTTCGTCTTATTTTCCTAAATCTATGCCAATAAGTTTAGGGACACCTTGTATACAGGGTGAGTTTTTAACTTGAATCTTTAAAATATTTCAGTAGATAGGCATTGTACAAAAAAAAGTTTAAAATTAAATAATTCGAGGGGGAAATAAATTAGTTCCAAAATTATTCCCCATACTCTCATCCTTATAGTTAGGGCATGGGGTAACTTTTAAATTTATAATGGAACACCCTATTTTTTATTGCATTTCTATTATTCCTGAGGTATTTTAAAGTTTCAAGTTAAAACACTCACCCTTTATTTATAGATGTAATGGTGGATGATTGGCCGTGTGTTTGTGGGTTATTTTCAAATTTCTTGTACATTTGCTGTCTAAGCGAAATCAATTGTTTAAGTGTTATCAACTATATATTAGCAAAATTGTAAAATTTTAAACTTAATCCTATCAAAAAAATTAAACTTTCCCCAACAGTACAGAAAAGTAGCTGTCCCACTTGCAATAATATTCACTACTTAATGCTATTTAAACATCTTAGAGTAAAATAACCTCCTTCTTTTTTTTAGTTGAGATATATTCCAAATATTATAGAAAAAGCACATTTGTGGTAATATTTAAAAATACAAGTGGTTAAAATAACCCCTCAAGTTTGTCCCTTAATTTTGGTCCCCTAGGACACGTCTCCTGGGTCACAGCTTTTATAAATGACCTTTTGAATTTAGCGCACATTTTTTGGTTCTGCCCCCTTGCGGCAAAGTATTTGGTAACGGATTTTAGTAGGAAATGGTGTTTTGAACTATCTTGAAGCCACAACACGTTTTTTTGTATTTTTTATACCAACGTGGCAAAACTGCATTCTCCTGTGTCACAGTAATAAAAATTAGTAAAGGTACCAGTTGGACTTTCTTGATTCTCAAAAGTAAGTATCCTAGTAATGGTTTTAAGGGCAAAAATACAAATTTTTATCTTTAAAACCGTAAAGGGGTTCTAAAAACATACATTTTTCCCCTGGGTCACACGTCTTCTGGATCACATATTGTGTGACCCAGGGAAAAGTTATGTGACCCAGGGGACAATTCCAACGAAATAAATTATAATATATTTTTAAAATAATAATAAACTTATAGGAAAGTTTTAAAAACATTTTTTTCGACCTTCCACCTTCTCTGTTTTTGACAGTACATAGCCAATTTAAAATATTGTCCTCCACCTTTTTAATAGTAATTAATCAATGTATTTTGCCTCAAAGAAGTTGGAATTTTTTTTTGCAGTTCAACGATACAATGTTTATTTTGACTTTTTATTATTATTTTATTAATAGGTATAACTAACAACTTTTTATTAATTTTAATGCTCGTTAAATTGGACAAGCTGGGCCCAGATAAAAAATCGAAAGAAAAAAAACGTTTTTAATACGCATTTAAAGAAAATTTTTTTTTTAATGGACATTTTTTTAAATATATTAAATATACTTATGTATGTAAGAAAGTTGAGAAATAGAACATAGTTTTTGCTTTTACTTAGTTTATATATATACAGGGTGAGTCATAAGTGGTGAACTTCCCGAAAGGTGCATGTAGGGGGGCCTTAATATAGGTAGGGAAAAATGTTAAAAAAATTCCAAATGAAAAAGTGACCGAGGAATTCAGGTCCTAAGTTTTAAATTTAACTTTTTTATTATTTAATATTTTTCCACCTTATATGATTTTTACTGAAGAGTTTCGGGTTCTTAAATATTTCCTAGCAAAAAAATTGCCCGAAAAAGTGTATTTTCTTTTAATTTTAATGTTTTAGAATGATTTTTTAACAATTGAAATGATCTGGCAACTTTGTAATCAACAATACGAAAATTGACATTGACGTTTATATTTTTTGGTGTTTTCTGGTTATTATTTTGTCGAGTCTATTTGTAATCAACAATGCGAAAATTAAGTTTGACGTTTATATTTTATTTTTTTGGTTATTATTTTGTCGAGTCTATTTAATAAAATGTACACCAATCAAGAATATGTGAATATGATGCTGGTACTTGGATTCTGTGAAGAAAATTGCAATGAAGAAGCCCGGGTATACGCAGCAAGATTCGCTGACATAACCCACCCATCGCCGGGAGTTTTTAGAAGGATGATGGTCAGAGCTAGAGAGACTGGATCTCTAATTCCCACGGCAGGTCCTGACCTTGGTCGGCCTCTAGAGATTGTACCCGAAGCCGATGAGTTAATCATCCAGCTGATTCAAGAAGATCCAACAAGAAGTACCAGAGGGATTGCTCAGGAGCTAGGCATGTCCCAGACATCTATAACCAGGCGATTAAAGAAGGAGAAGTTCCATCCATACCACTACACTAAAGTTCAGGCTCTAAACAACGACGATTTCGGTTTGCGTTTAAATTTTTGTATTTTGGTTATTGGGAAATATTAATGAGGATGGTGATTTTTTAACTCGTATTTTATGGCAAATTTTAGTAGGGATGGGTATTTTAATACTAGAAACTGCCATTATTATAACCAAGAAAATCCATATAGAAAATTGGAATTTAATCATCAAAATCGCTTCAGTGTAAATGTTTGGGTTGGGATAATTAAAAATTGGGTTATTGGGTCTATCATATTACCGCGGCGGTTGAATAGGGATCAATTTTTAAATATTTTGGAGAGCGAAATTTCTAATGAAATTAACAATTTACCCTTGGCCACATTGCGCAACATGTGGATACAACTGGATGGTGCCCCACTTCATTTTGCCGCTCCTGTTAGAAATTGGCTAAATGAACAGTATCCTAACAGGTGGATAGGTCGTAACGGCCCAGTTTCTTGGTCTCCTAGGTATGGAGTCATGTTAAAGCATTGGTGTACCAAACACCGGTACATAATGAGGAACTAATACTGCGTATTCGAAATGCTTTAACAACTGTGACCCCAGAAATGTTGACCCAAGTACAAGTTAGTACAAGAAGAAGACTGGAATTGTGTTTGGAAAATCAGGGGCATCAATTCGAGCAATTTTTGTAATGTTTGTTCATGCTTCTTTATGTTATTTTTTTCATAAATTTTTATTTTGTTTGATTTTGGTTTTAATTATTATTATTTAAGTATTATAATCACAACAACTGTCTCATTGTTGTCTTTTATTATGACAGTAATGACAATAATATAAGCACGTAACAATTCAAATAAGTTCCTTAGTTACTTCAATTAAAATGAAATCTAATAATTTCCTGTAACATTGTTAGTGTTTACACGTTGCCAAAATTCTCTTTTGAGTTCTTGGCCATAACTCGAGTACCAAAGCAGATAGATTTTTTTAAACATTTTTCCCTACATATATTAAGGCCCCCCTACATGCACCTTTCGGGAAGTTCACCACTTATGACTCACCCTGTATATATATATTTATATATATATATATATATATTATATAAGTTTTTTTAATATGTTAGTAAATTTGTGACCCAGGGGACCATTTTTTTCTTTTTTCTTTTTTAAGGACTTATTTAAAAAAATCTACCTGCCCACTTTTAGGTGTTAAATAACACCTTGTTAGAAAGCACTTTAACAAAAAAACTTTATTGATAACTTTAAATTTTATTGACATTTTGGGAGAGCGTTAACACGAAAAAAAAAACCGTTCAATAAACTAGTAGAAATAATATTTGTAGCTCAAAATTGATGCAACAAAAACCACCGTTGCTGTTGTTACAGTAACCCGTGAGTTTTTATTAGAAATAGTATGATTTAAACCTTCACCTTGACGTTGACGTTGACATTGAACATTGAGTGTTCTGCACATCGATAGTTACACTTTTATTTTCTTCGTGTACCTACCTACTTGAAAAGAAGTGATTGAGGTTGAATGAATAAGGGTGTGGCACGTACATGTTGTTTCATGTTGACTGATTGTTTTTGTATTGCCTGCTCACAGTGGAGCTGCCGTGGGAGACCTGCCTGCGTGAGTACCCTAAATACTACTTAAAGAATACTAAACTACTTCTTGAGTGTTCTATTTAATAATTTGCTTTTATACTGCTGCATGATTTATATATAGGTATGTGTGTCCTTTAGAATGTCCTAAAATAAAAATAAACAAGTTTAATTATTTTTTATTGAAATATAGGAATATACAGGGTGTTATGTAATTAATGTAATACATTAAAATGCGTAGTTCCTTAGAATCCATAAAGAAGCACCTAAAACTTTTTTTATAAATTCTAAAGACTAAAAATAATTTATAATAACCTTTATCCTACCAAAAAGTACGCCACTGATCGACTAGGAACTTTAGGCTAATCTGGTTGCCTAATTTAATTTATTATGTTAGGGTTGGTAACGACCAGCGTTAATTTGGCGTTTTTATTAATTGTTTATTATGTCATTTTTGTAATGAAGGTAAATTTAAACAAAATCTGGCAACTTTTATGACAAAATCTAGTGCATTTCTTTCAAATTTTAGGTTATGTTCTCAAATTGTAAATATCTCAACTATTTCCCTTTTGGATTTATTTACACAAATTGAATGTTTAAAGTTTAACCTGCAAACTTGTCCTAATTTCATCTGAGTAAACAGAAAGAAAAAAACCTATGAAAAAATTAATTTTGAGGTTATGGAGTTTTTAGAATAGGTTCTTAATTTATTTTTTTCAAGAAAACCTTAGTTTGTAACCAGTGGCGTATCACAAAAAATATAAAAAACTTGTAATGCATATTTTTTCTTTATCTTTGGGAAAATATATTTTTAAATATTTTTCCGTTTCGCCTTATGTCAAAGTAACCAGTGGCGTATCACAAAAAATATAAAAAACTTGTAATGCATATTTTTTCTTTATCTTTGGGAAAATATATTTTTAAATATTTTTCCGTTTCGCCTTATGTCAAAAGGTATTCAGTATTTTAATATATTACAATGTAACATTAATTACAAAACACCCTGTAAATTAACAGCAGGGATTAAAAGAAAATTTATATTTTGGCACATTTATACAGGGTGTTTAAAAGGTCTTATATAAAAAAACACATTTTGCATGAATACGTTCATCATTGTTGTTAAAAATTTGATGATCCATTAAAATACTGTTTAAAAAATAAGTTTGCAAAAAACATTTTAAAAGTTGAAAATATTAATAAATAAATTTAATTTCAACATAAACTTAATTAATATACAGTTTTAAGTACCATTCATAACGTTAAAATTTGACAAAAACAATTTAATTAATTTTATAAACAGTGTTTTAATAATTTGTAAGCTTTATTATCCTTTTTGACCTGCATGTTAAAATTTTAATTGAAATTTTAAACAGTACATATTTAAAATAATCCTCTTATATTTATTGCAATACCTTTTAAGTTTTAATGGTGTATTTAATGTTTTAGTAATCTTTTAAAATCTAGATTTTATTTGTGTTTAAAAAACAACGTTTAATTAATTTAATTATATTCGAAAAAAATAATAATTAATACACTCACAGGCAAAATAATCGATGAATTTCAATCGCAAATAACTTTTTTATTTGATGTCGGATTTAAACTAATATTAAAGAATATTGTAGATAAATTAATGGGCAATCGCTCACATTTTAAAAAATTATCAAAAAATAGACGTACGTTTATAATATACAGATTTAAACAAAAAGATGTTTTTTACCATAAGTTTAAGACACTCTGTAGAGTGGCAAAACCGTATATTGTTCTAAATTAAAATTTATTTATCAAGTCACATCTATTCTTAACAGTTTTGTTTTTGGTTCACCTCGATATATTTATTTTTGTGGAAAATATGGATTTTTAAAAAAAAACATTGCAATTTCCAATATTTTTCTGTATGAAGAACTAAGGTTGCTATGGTCCATCCATAGGCTATGGAGAATGACAGTGACAGTTTTGTTGAATCATCCCATACTTGGACACGTCATACACCGCTTTCAAAAGCTTTCAAATTGTTTTTTGCAAATTAATGTTTAAATTTTCCGAATGATGTTGCCAGAGCCATTAATTTAATCCAGGATGGACGGTCACAGTATTACGTGGCAAGTGTTTTAAACGTCACAAGAAGTAAAGTACAAAGGGCAACATCAGTCGGAGACATTTTTAAAAGTAAGAAGACACCTCAAAATTAACATATTAATTTACAAAAAACAATTTTATAGCTTTTGAAAGCTGTATATGACATGTCCAAGTATGGGATGATTCAACAAAACTGTCACTGTCATCCTCCATAGGCTATGGATGGCCCATAGCAACCTTAGTTCGTCATACAGGAAAAATATTGGAAATTGCAATGTTTTTAGAAAACAATTCATATTTTCCACAAAAATAAATATATCAAGGTGAACCAAAAATAAAACTATTAAAAATAGATGTGATTTGATATTTAAAACATAAACTTATGGTAAAAAACATCTTTTTGTTTAAACCTGTATATTATAAACGTACGTGTATTTTTTAGTAATTTTTAAAATGTAAGCGATTCTCCATTAATGTATCTACAATATTCTTTAATATTTGTTTAAATCCGAAATCAAATAAAAAAGTTATTTGCAATTGAAATTCATGTTAAATAAAATTAAAATTTATTCAATTTTGGTAATTACATTTTTGGAAATACTTAATTAATTTAAATAAAATGTAGATATGTAGGTGCATGATTCTTGTGCTTTTAATTATTGATTCTTAATTTAAGGTTATTTATTTAACTTACCTACTTTTTATATTTTATTTTTTAATTATAATTCACTAATTTATGTTTTTGTTTGTTTTTTCTCAACGCAGTTGTATACACGAATACATGGACGTGTACTCTGAACTAATCCACCCCGAGACAGCGGAATTGATAAACAGCCCTTTCGGGGGCAGGTACTGCGGCCCCATTCCCCCCCGCAGACGGGTGTCACTGTACAGAGCCCTGGCGCTCAATTTTCACACTGACAAGAACGTATCTACGACGGATCTCTTCATCGGCAGATACTCCTTCATCAACGACTGTGAGTATTAAATTTTTATGTTTACTGCAAAAATCACCCAAGAAAATTTGTAATTGATTTTTTTTTATTATTTATAAAATGGTTTTTAGCAAGTGGCATTAAATTTTATTTAATTTAAGTTTTTTTTTTTCAAGCAGGGTCACTTCACGCAAAATTTTTAGTCTAAATTTAAATTTGCTAATAATTTTTCAGGTCTTAAAATTAAAAAAAAAACATATAGTTTTAAAATAAAAAAATCGCCTTATTTTTTTTTCGTTTTATGATCATCATAAACTTTTGACTTAAGTATGGTTTCGCGTAAAAATCGAACAAAATTTGGAAATTTTTTTGCAAGTAATGCCAGAATTAAATATATTTTTTAAACCTTGTTTCTACACCTAAATGGGGCATTAAAAAAAAAACCTAAGTCACTCTACTATGTAAAAAGTAGATAAATTTCGGTATTTTGTTATTACATTTTTATTTAAAAACGTATCGATTTGAAATTAAGATAAAATGTAGACCTTATTAGTGGCAATAAATCCACGTATTTTTTTTAGATTTTAACATACAGGGGGCGCTGGGGACACTTTAATTTAAAATTTACCATTTTTTAAGGGTTAAAAAGTCGAAGAAGCAACTTTGTTTTATAATTTTGAGTATATCACGTTAAAGTACTGATATTTAACTATTTTTTAATATATAAACTTCTACTCGTACATGCAAATTATGTTTCTACGAGAGACTCAATTTTTAAGTTAGGCCTTCAAAGAGCATAATACTAACGTGTTTTACAAATTATATTATATTTTATCTAGTTTTATAAGATAATGTATTTATTATATATTACATTTTAAACACTATATATTATACAATTCTTACATATTTATTTAAAAAAATCGCCATAGATGGAGCTAAAATTGGTTTTATTTATAAATTTTAATTTTTTTCAATTTTACTAATTTTGATCATAGTAGGCATCATAGACTTTTCTCTACCATTGGAAGCATGAAAGATAATTTGACAGTTCAGTTTATAAATTGCAAATGGCTGATTGCGCTTCAATTTATAATAAACATTAATTTATTCAAATGAATAAACTAAATAATAATTATAGACAGTGTCAGCAAGTTAGAAATTATAACCTACTTTAATTTTATTTTTTGCTCTACAACAAAGGTTTTAATTTATTTTTTACTCGATAAGCAAGGTTCAATTTGAATTCCAAACTGAGAAAAGTAATATTTACCCAATAAATAAATTAGAATAAAGACTTTAATTTTTTATATTGCTATCTGCTATTTAAATTTGAAATTTTAAGAGCATATACAATTTGATTTAGACCTAAAGTTAATAGTTTTCAAGATATTAATTTTTTCGTTAAAATTTTGCTAAATGCACGTTAATCAAATATAGCCTCTAATTTTTTTGTTATTCAGCCATTCCACGTTACTCGGAAAATTTTGTAGCGTCCGTTGCAATAAAAAATTGTGAGTAAAAACACTGTTATTAATTATGATGCTTATAAGCTTAAGCATAATTATTACAAGCATAATAAACATGTTTGCAATAGTAACTATTGTAATAGTATTTAATTTAATTACGGTAGCTTTTTCTCACAATTTTGTATTGTAACGGACGCTACAAAAATTCCCAAGTAACGTGGAATGGCTGTATTATGTTTGCTGACATGGGGTTGGAATTTTTGGAAGATTAAATATTGTTTAAATAATTTTTTTAATGTTTTTTAACAAATACCTTAAGAAAAACCACTTGAAATTCAAGTAATAACGTTTATATTATAAATGTAAAACCCTGTATGTTTAACCATAATCAAATAGAATATTAGAGACTCGTTCGATTGCTATTATAATAACTGTCCTAAAGTTAAAATTTCAGATACATTTAACACTTGAACAAACCTGTGAAATTCTAAATGTGGTTTAATGTGACAGTATCCATGGTTACCACTAAATCTGTTATTGTTTAAAATTAATTAAAATATTTGATTGAAAAATGAATAACTCGAAAAATATTGACTTTAGGTATAGGATATGGTATAGCCATTTTACTTAGAATTAAAATATATTAAAAATATATGAGGTGTCCTGTCCTGTTTAAAATAACAAAGTTAAAGACATTTCCGGTAATACAGGAAGTATTATTTTGTTCAAAATAATTTTGGAAAAAGTCTAAAGCGAATAATTTACGCTATTAAAATTTTAAATCGATGTCTTTTGCGATTCCCTAGAAACTTCTAACGGACTACGTACGTGAAACACCCTGTGCCATTTATGTGTTATGCTTTACTTAATTATTAATATTTGTATAAAAATGACAAAATATACTAAACTAAACATTTATGAATACTGCTACTGCTAATTCAAAACTGATCCTGGCCACAGAATAATCATAATAGTCAAATATCAATACTTAAACGTGTTTAAATTTATAAGACAAAGTTGCTTCTTCGATTATTTACCCTTTAAAAATTTTAAACTAAATTATCACCAGCGCCCCCTGTACGTTAATATCTAAACAAAATTTTTTCATGGATTAATTTTCATTAGTAAGATCTACACTTTTTTCATATTTCAAATCGATACGTTTTAAAATAAAAAAGTTATTTAAAAAAAATTAAATTTATTCATTTTTAATAGTTGTAGCAAAAAATAAAAATAAAAACAAAGTTATCAATGGACGAGATTTTTTTGAAAAAAAGTACTGCATTTAGATGTAGAAATAAGGTAAAAAAAGTTTCAATAAATTTCTTGAACCCTTGCAAATCGACCGTTCGATCCTTTCGCGTAGTTAAAATAAGACCAAAATACTTTTAAAAATGGCGAATGCGTCGGGATTAATTAAGAGAACATAATATGTATTATAATAATATTATTATTTATTTTATATGTATAGATGAACAGTGACCGGCAAGTATGGATCAAATTCATAAAAAAATTTGTCTTTTTTCTGAAAAAAACACAGGTCGTTTTGTTTTGTTTTTCAATTACGCACATTTTGATGTACAATTTTTATATTTTCCGACATTTTTGTAGAATCTGACGTAGACTTCTAGGTCTTTTTAGAAAGTAAGGGTAGAACTAAAAACTTAAATTAAATTAAAATTGTTACAAACAGATCTCACATCTCTTGTAAACTGAAAAAGTGTCTTAAAAATGTAAAAATTACTACAAAAATATTACTTTTCAAAAGGTGTTTTAAAAATAATGATAATATAATTAATGATAAAATTAAATAAGTTTAATACATATTTTACATACACCCTTGTATTACAAATTTTTAAGTAAAGCTAGATATTTTGGTTTTAAATCAAAAAATCAATTGCTGTTTATATTTTTTATCATTACCAAATTTTAATTTTTTTTATTTTGAAAAGTCCTTGGAAATTATTTTCTGTAAAATGTTTATAAAAGTTTTAATAGAAGTATGTTTTTTTTTACTTTGTATATTCAGTGTGTTTCATTTTGATTGGCGACAATTTGGTATTTATTAAAAAATGATTTTATTTTAGATTTTTTTTTTATTTTTTTGAACTTAATTTGTGAACAGTGGTATAAGCTAGAATAACAAAACTAAGCAAATGTGTAGTTCGTGTAATACCCAAAGAAATGACAGAATGTTTTTACAAAACCTTTAATAGATTTTATACAGAATGGTTAAAAAAATGTTTTTTTTTCTAAATTTTACCTTACGTTTTGACCATCCTGTATAAAATTGCATTACAAAATTATAGTTTTAGGGGTTTTTGGGTATGCCAAATTCAAAAACGAATTCTGTTTTTAAATTTAAAAAATGCCCAATAACTTTTGAGGTTTTTGAGACCTTCTATTTATGTTTCCAGCACCACAAACAATTTAATTTTTAAATATATACCGTATTGCCGCCAATTACAATCAAACACACTTTAGAGGTAAATGACAAATATTAGTATTGTGCACATAAAATTAATAGTCCAGTCATCTAGGCATTTCACTTCGGAATCTAACGGAATAAGCTGAATTTTTGTAAAAACCTTTATTTTAGCATTACAAATGTTGTCTCAAAAGTCACATATGCCAACGTGTGAGCGGCCTTAGATATTCAAGGTCAAAGGTCGCAAAAATCAATTTTTTGAGAATATCTCCTTTTCTCTGCCTCCTATCGTATTTGCATTTATTATACAAGTTGTAGAGAATAAAATTCTCTACAAATTTTGTTTAAAACATTTGTTTATACGTCTAATCGTTTTTGAGATAGAGGGCGCAGAGTGTGGAGCGCTCAGCCATACGTACCTTTAGCGCAAGGTAAATCATGAATCCCAATCTATTATACCGTTTTTTAATTAATTATATATTAAATATTACTTAAATAACAATTTAATACCTTATATTTTTTTTTAAACAAATAGTCATTAAATATTACTTACTTTTGACATACAAATAATTAAATAATGAAGTAAATCATTCTAAATATATTCTAATGTTATTCTAATTAATGATAAATGCCTTTTAAGAAGAAAATACATTAAATGAATTTGCCTTGAATATGTCTCTCATCTCTTGGATCCAGATATTGCTTTTAAAATAACAGACCCGGAAATACTATAGTGGGCTTGCTATAAATAAAAAGGTTAGGTATACCTATATTTAAAGCAAGTTGTGACCCTAGGTATAGGTCTAGGGTTGTGACAGGTAATATTCGTAATATTTTAAAGGTTAACATGGCTGATTTGTTTTTAATTTGTAATAAGTTACTTTCTGAAGGTGATTCTGTGACTTTTGTGCGCGGTATAAAGACTTTAAAAGAAGCAATTATTGAGAGAAATAAACATAAACTACCTAAATACTTCTGTGAACGTTCATATTGAGTGTCGAAAATTGTACGTACGCTATAGCGTACTATATAGTAAAATTGCAGAAGGCAACAAAGGCAAAAAAATCTACAAAGTACAAACGCGTTATAAGTAAGTTTTTGAAGATATGACAATTAATGTCAATGATAACGAGGAGAGTGATGATGAGAATGAGTCTGAAATTGCTGGCCAACCTGAAGAAGACGAGGATGAAGAAGATAAAGATTAATAATATTAATAATTATAATAATAATAATATTGATATAAATAAAAAAAAATTTCTACTCCGATCCAATTATCCTTCATTAAAATTAAATTAAAATATAAGATATACGAGTATATGAAGATAAAATATATTTGATTTAAAAGAAATATAAATATAAGGTATTAAATTTTTATTTTAGTAATATTTATTATATAATTAATTAAAAAACGGTATAATAGATTGGGATTCACGATTAACCTTGCGCTAAAGGTACGTATGGCTAAGCGCTCCACACTCTTCGCCCTCTATCTCAAAAACGGTTCGACGTATATAGAAATTTTGTAAACAAAATTTATAGAGAATTTTATTCTATACAACTTTTATAATAAATGCAAATACGATAGGAGGCAGAGAAAACGAGATATTCTCAAAAAACTGATTTTTGCGACCTTTGACCTTGAATATCTAAGGCCGCTCACACGTTGGCATATGTGACTTTTGAGACAACATTTGTAATGCTAAAATAAAGGTTTTCACAAAAATTCAGCTTATTCCGTTAGATTCCGAGGTTGATCCCTTTTTTTTGACCAAGATGACTGTACTATAATAAAATGTAAACTTAAACCGTGTTATTTCAATTTGTTTCAGCGGAATACGAAGTGGGAGTGCCGGTGGCTGGTTCCGGTTCCCCGTGCAATTTCCTGGTGAAGGGTGCCGTGAAACCTTCGGGCGCCATTTTGTCGCCCACGTATCCGGGCGCCTACCCCAAAGCGCTCAACTGCAACTACCAGTTCCTCGGCGTCCCGGGCGAAAGGATCAGGATCGAGTTCAGGGACTTCGACCTCTTTTTCGGAGGTCCTCAGTAAGTAGATTACATTTGTTGCCACTTTTATTATTCTTTGAACGAAAGCTGAACTAAAGCTACAAGCTACAATAAACAGGACTTTATAGTGGCGCTACTATTATTGGGCACCTACATTCATCTTTGATGTTTTGTAAAAGTTTTATGTTAATCCAGGTCCACATATCATCATCGATGACGTTATAATTTTGCGCACTGGTACCAACACTAAATATATAAAACGAAGTCTGTAATTGAATATTGTAACAACTCTAGTTGGCAGCAATTGCAATGTTGTCATAATAAAATGACGCATAGAAAAAGAAATTGACGTTTTAGAATTTCGAAGCTGTCAGTTGTGTTTTTGAATATTTCGTTTATAATTATAATTTATAATTCGTGTATAATTTCGTTTATTTTGTTTGTTAAAAAAACGACGAAAATATTTCAAAGAATGATTATTTTTACAAAAAAATAATATATAATTTTAGTTTTGATATTTAAAATGACATACCAATGCATTGGTATAAATATTTTCTATAAGGGATATAGAGAAGTGCTTTACTAAATATCAATATCAATATAAATATTTTTTATTTGACATACCTCCCGATCACTTTGTATAGAGTCCTTTTTGACAAAAAACGTTATAAAAATTTAGGGACTCGGTACATCCAAAATAGATTTAAGGCAAAATAATTTAATAAATAAATAAAAGTCATGCACTTTGTAGACTACTGTTAAACTTTGCTACCGTCAACTGCAACTATCAAACAAATACTAAAAATATTTATGACCATTTCTCTCCTTTTTGATCCTCATAAAAAAAATAAGCCGACGCAAAAAAAGGCGGTAACCTTAATCCTATGTATGTTTAAGTATTATATGCAAGAAAGTTTATCGTTACAAAGTACTGATTGACTCATGGATTTTGCGCCCCCAAAATGTTGCGCCTGCGTGCGTGCACGCCAGGAACGGGCCTGCCATTAGGGTTTCATTAATACTACTAAACGTTTTTGTAAACGGTATAGAACTGTTTTTTTGGACAAATAATAATAACTATATTTATCAATGCGTTTCTGCATCTGGAAGAGTGTTATTTGTATAAAAATTACGTAAATTTACTTTATAATTAATGCAAATGCTATTACTGAAAGCAGCGTTTGTAGATAAATAATTTTTATAAAAATGATCTTTTTGCCGTAACAAAAGCAGTTGTTGGACGAATAGGGATCTTTACTTTATTAAAACAAACTACTTTTTTTGTTATATTTATTAAAAAAAATTTAAATTTATAGAATTTTGTAAATTAATTTTTTTTTCAGTTGCCCATTTGACTTCGTGAAGGTATACGACGGTCCGGACAATACTTCGGCCGTCATAGGCACTTACTGCGGCCAGCAGCGGAACCTGGTCATATACTCGTCCGAGTCCTCGCTTCTAGTAACCTTTGTCACCCTCCCTCGCACTGCCAACACTCAAAATAGAGGCTTCAAAGGCATCTTCGAGTTCTCAAACTCTTTTACCAAATTAGGTAAGTCACACAATAGCATTTCGCCCACTAGCTTTACTTCGTTGCTAAATAGGCTAGTTCAAAATAATCAACTATTTTTTTTTCTGAAATTTCGCACTGAAATATGTTCACTAGGGTGGCCCAAAAAAAAAGAATATCTTTTTTTTCTCGTCTCTTGTAAAAATATGTTAGTTTATCATGCTGTAAGAGCCCTGTCAAAATATCAGCTCGATTAAAAAATTTTTAGGGGTCGCTCAAGATTTTTTAAAATTTTCAAAATCGTCAAAAATTGAATTTTTGTTTTATTTTAATTTTTTTTCTTGTCTCGATATTATTTTTTTGGTAGGAAATAATAAAAATTTTGAAAATATCCAATCAATATTTTAATTTCTAAAGGTCGCTAAAAGTTCGTTGGTATTTATATTCAGAGGTCGCTCGAAAACATTCAAAATACTCTACTTTGAAAGTTAAAAAAATCTTGAGCAACCTTTAGAAATCAAAATATCCATTTGAAATTTTTAGAATCATTATTATTTTTAAATTAAAAAATAATATCGTAACGAGAAAAAAAATTAAAATAAAAAAAAATCCAATTTTGACGATTTTGGAAATATTTAAAAATCTTGAGCGACCCCTAAAAATTTTTTAATCGAGCTGATATTTTGACAGGGCTCTTACAGCATGATAAACTAACATATTTTTACAAGAGACGATAAAAAAAAAGATATTCTTTTTTTTTGAGCCACCCTAATGTTCACGATGCCAAAAAAAGACACCTGTAAAAACAGGAGCTATTAATTTTAATATTTAGAGGTCGCGCATCGAGAATTTCTATGTCCCATTTAAATAACATGGGAAATTTTGTTTTGTTTCTTTATAATTTTCTAGCTCACAAACTAATTAAAAGATTTTTAAGCGCGATATATATTCTTGTGGGAAATTGAACGCTCTACAAAAAATGTCTCCTATCATTTTTCGATAAACCAACGAGTTCAAAAGTTATTCAAAGTCAAATTTAAATTTATATCATAATTGTTTTACTTCAATTTTAGGCAAATTCATTAGTTAGTTTTTATCAAATTTAAAAAAAAATCAAAATTACCATGTTCAATAAGCCTTTTAAATTAATTCCACTGAAACACCTACTATTTTTGGAAATAAAGGATTTTAATTAATCAAAAAGAATTTTAATCAAATCTTTCCAAAAATAGTAGGTGTTTCAGTGGAATTAATTTAAAAGGCTTATTGAACATAGTAATTTTGATATTTGAATGATTTTTTTTTATATTTGATAAAAACTAACTAATGAATTTGCCTAAAATTGAAGTAAAAAAAGCAATTATGACAAATTTAACTTGAATAATAATAATAACAACTTGAATAACTTTTGAACTCGTTGGTTTATCGAAAAATGATATGAGACATTTTTTGTAGAGCGTTCAATTTTCCACAAGAATATATATCGCGCATAAAAATCTGTTAATTAGTTTGTGAGCTGAAAAATTATAAAGAAACAAAACAAAATTTCCCATGTTATTTAAATGGGAAATAAAATTCTCGATGCGCGACCTCTAAATATTAAAATTAAGAGCTCCGGTTTTCACAGGTGTCTTTTTTTGGTACCGTGAAAAAATAATAGTTGATTTTTTGAACCAGCCTATTGCTAAAGCAACGAAACCAGTGGCTGCCTAAAAACATTAGCACTGATTTAAAAATTCAAGACGTTTTTTACTCTTGGTTTAGAGCTTCCTGGAAACCTGATGAAGCAATTTCTCTCAAGTCAAATTTGGGTTAATTACGTCAAAAATCATGAGAAAAATGTAGACTGTTTAATTATAATTATTGAAAACTTCAATAAAAAATAGAGGCTGATCGAAATGACAAAACATGAAAAACGGTGGAAAAATAATTGGAACTAGAATAATATTGCCAAATACGATTATTCACCGTAAGTTCAGATAACGAGTTTACAAAACAAATTTCCTAGCGCGCATGAAACGGAACTTTCGTCGTTTATTTACCCTTTTAGATACGAGTAGATTCGAAGCTAACTAACTAAAACTTTGAATTAAACCGTGATATTTCGCAGGGAATATGCAATACAGTTTATTAAAACAAATGTTTTACATTTTACAAGCTACAAATATTTACATAATATACAGGGTGTCACCTAGGGTTGGGAAAATTTCACTTTTTGCTTGTACTTGAAATTTTCAAGACATTTATGAAATTTATTAAAATTTCCTAAATGTCTCAAATTTCATAAAATTTATGAAATTTTTTGAAACTTTCAATAAATTTCCATTACTTTAAGTGTAATATATTAATATTGAAATAAGCCCACTCGGTGACCATGGCAAATTGCCTCTTTTACCTCCTACCCCTCTGTGGGCCCCTGCACCAATAATATAAATAGTAAATACCTATGTTTACCACAAATTTCTTGAAATTTCCTTTTAAAATTACTAAAACTAAGAGAGATATAGCACTTTTTGTTAAGCTAATGAGATTGTGCCACTTTCATTGTTTTATATTTATATATATTTATTATTTTTATGTATTTTACTGAAATTTTACAAAAATTTAAGAAACTTCATCAAAATTTTATGAGCCAAAGGCATTTTTTATCCGTTTTCCGATACAATTATAGCAAAAGTAAAAGTTTAAATTAATCATGACTTTTAAAAAAATAAGTCTGATTTAATTTACAAATTAAATTGTTAACTGAATTAAATTATTTAAATTAATTTATGCATATAAGTAACAATAATTACTTATAGTGTATTCAAATCCAAGCCGAACTAAACAAAAACGCCCAGACACTTGATAACTCGTTATTATTGGTCGATTCGGAATCTGTTGTAAATTATTATCTAAGGTCCCAGGGGAGGCCGCATGTGAAATTTATGCGGAATTTTCAGTAAATAGCGAAACTTTCAATGAAATTTCTGAATGTTTCACAGGCAATGTTGAAATTTTCGAATTGAAAATTTCATTTGAAATTTTTAAAAATTTCACTTTTCCAACTAAATGATATATTTCAAGTTTGAAACTTTCAAAGTTAAAATTTTCATTTGAAAATTTCAACTGTCCCGACCCTAGTGTCACCTAATAAATTGTCATCATTTGGGGGGATGATAGTACACGCCAAATCAAAAAAGTTTTCCTCGATGATTTTTCCTTTGGAGCTACTGTTTTTTAATAAAAAAATTATGCAAGTTTTTTTTGTTTAAACAAATAAGTAAAAAAATATATATAGTTAAAATGAAAAAGTTGCGAAATATTTAAGAAAAGTAAAAAAACAAAAACTAAATTTTTAATTTAATATAAAATTATAATATAATTTGAAATGTTAGATACATTACTTATTTAAATATAAAACGTTTTTAAACTAATTTCCAGTCATTAAAAATATCAAAACATCGAATAACCAAGTTTAAAATATTTCCTTTAAATTTAGCGCGCACCCCTTCCAACTTTAATTCTAAACGCTTAAATCATTGCTTGACCGTATAATAGGGAAATAGTAAGCCCCGAAATTTGCGCTTCATATACGTCACACATTGCCGATACAACATGATGCTCCCCACCGCTGCACGGTGCCGCCGGCACCCCCGAAAGGCGGGGATAATACGCGAATTTTTGTAGACATGAGGCCCACAAAGTTGGGCTTGTACCACAGTATATGGAAGACAGCAGAGTCAGTCCCGAGATCTGTGCGGCTCGCTTATCAGCCGTTGTAAAAGACTGGGCGGGGCGTGGAATGTTATAGTGAACAAAGCTTATTAATTAGATCTATGCGTGTTTATAGTTTCTTATTTCTGTTTAGTCTTTGCCTTAGCGTTAAAATGGAAAGTTGTGATAAAAATGCAAGCGTAAAATACATTATTGTGTTGTGAATTTATGTAAAAATAATTCAAATAATTACAAAAGATCATTTTTATTTTAATATACTATTATCTTAACACTCAAATACCACAGTAAAAATCACAAAAAATATAAATTAAAATATTCATGTTTTTTTATAGTTCAGTGTTAAATCGTTGAGTTTCATATACCTACTGTGCTTGTACATTATTATTTTGTTGTTGTGCGGTTGTGCCTTTATTTATCTAAAACTAATTATTGTTAGATAGGTAAAAATGAGCAGTACCTCCTGGGTAATGCAGAAACCTGCTGAAGGAATAAATAAAAATCCCACCTCGTCCCGCACTTTTTGTATTATTCTAGCTAAATTTTGAAAATTCTGTTTCAATTACTAAACCTTTTTGGTTTATTAAGCACATAAATAATTATTAACTCACAATTTTTATTTAAAAAAAATAAATACAGTAGTTTTATAAAACTGGTAACCGCAAACTTAATAAAACTCTTTTATAAACCCACTGGTAATGGTTATTATATGTTATATAAAATGTTTGTAGAAAGAAATTATATACGTAACCTAATTTTACTCTATAGGGTAACTATAAACTAGTAAATTAAATGGTGATTTTATAACACCTTGTTATACTCTTATATAATTTGACAAACCTTATATAACCTTTATATAATTTATCGTCACCATAAGTAGTACAAATTGTTTATTGGGTACCTGATCTTTTTTCCAGATTTCATAAGTAAAAACGATGGTGTGCATATCCGCGGCACGGAGTGCGACCAGAAAATAATGAGCAAAAAGGATTCCAGCGGTTTCGTGTTCAGTCCCAACTACCCCTTCCCCTACATGCCGAAGCTGGTGTGCCGCTACTTCATCTACGGCATGCAGAACGCCCAGCATCTCGAACGCGTCAAACTCGAGTTCGTCCTCTTCGAAATACCCAAAGGCGCCAAGGGAGAGTGAGTATACAGCTCTCGAATTAAACTGTCTTGGACTTTTCGGTTTACTGACACATGTCTGGTCGGAGTCGTGTATAATATATTATATAGTTTTACATTCTGAAATTTGATCATTCTACACTTGAAAACGATCACAGATAGTTGAAACGTTGTGTTATAAAAGAATCAAAGATAAAGATAGTCCAAGACAGTTTAATTCAAAATCATACTTCATCTACCAACCTCAAATCTAAATATACAGCTCTCGTTATCCTTAGTTTGAAAGACTATGCAATGGTCTTCTGATCTCAATGAAAAGTCACATATACTGTGATCTGGAGATTTGGCGGCCATTGCAACATGAAAGATTAACATTTGCTGATTCAGTTGAAACTATAACTTCCTACACAGCAAACGGAAAAATATAGAATTGTATAGGATGACTCCGCGTTTGAATACTAAATCTTAAAGTTTTATCAGAACTGTATTGAATCGTGCTTTGTTTTTATATTTTTCGGCTCTATACCTATGCCCGACTATATTTAAAGTCAAACTCAATGGTGTCTTACAAGATACAATATTTTGATTTTCTATATTCAATAGAGAGGTAGAAACTCGATCCTGTCGAATGGTGCAGTCATTTATATCTCTAGAAATTATTAAAAAAGGGTTCAGTCCAATGGTGCAACAACTTCGGATTCCTATTCTCTTCAGAGACATAGAAACTCAAGCTTTTCGAATTTTACTGGTAATGATTTTCGTTAATGTCCCCGAGAATTATACAAAAACAGCGCAATGCAATATCGCAACGGTTTCGACTTCTCTTTACTCTACCAAGTTATAGAAACTGGAGTCTCTCTAATACTGTTCTAGTCAATATTTCTGAGAGTATAAAAAGAGGGTGAAATTCAATATTGCAATAAGTTATGATCTTTTGATGGATGCAAGTAGTTTGAATTTTCTCATTTCTGCATATGATTTTGTTGAAAATTGTTCCTTTCTTTGGTTCCTTTGTCTGATTTGTATTTACCGTAACAACTCGGGTATGTAAAGCACAAAGGATATGATGTAAAGTATATTTATATATTTTATAAAGTACCTATATTTGTATTAAAAATTTCAGAGGTTACGTTGAAAAAATGATCGATATGCTATTAAACTTTAATAATTTAGTAATGAGGTCTGTTGGTAGACCCTGCACTATCTCCACTAGTATATGTTAGTACAGCAATATTTAAATCTGGTTGATGAAAAAGTACACACCAGTGCAGGTTATTGTAGCATCTACGAACAAATGAATTAATGGCTCATTGGAAATTATTCCTTTAGTAAAAATATTCAACACAGCTTAATTAATTAATAAAATGAAAAAAATCACAATCATGTCGTATATAGTTTTTTTTAAGCATAAAATAGTTGTCATATTAATACCAGGTCAAAAGTGAAATTACGACCTCTTTACTCTGGAGAGTATTAAAACGCTCGACTGACGAATACAACTCTATACCCTGGCGAGATTTAGAAAACTGTATTCAAACGTGGCGTCATCCAATACACTTCTATATTTTTCCGTTTGCTGTGTAACTCTGGCAGTTGATATAAAGTGATCTAACTCTCGTTTATTTTTAGTTGTTCCGATGGTTATTTAAAAATATACCTGAAGGGCCAAGAAACGACGGATTCCTACGACAAATTCGATTACGAAATGTGCGGGGAAGAGAGTAAACCGTCAGCCATTGTATCCGATGGTCCTCGAATGGTTATGGTTTTTAGTAGCGGAGAACTTGGTATGGGAAGAGGGTTTAAAGCCAACTATACATTTGAGACTGGTAAGAACATTTAAATTTATGTTATTTATTTATATAGTTTTTAGGGATCTTTTGAATACTAAAAATGTGTATTAATATATAAGCTCATCTTACTTATTATACTATGTTCACCGAACCAAAAAAAAACATCAAAACTAGTTTAAATTCGAAGAAAGTAATTTTGTTTTTTGTATCCTTATTGAAAAACAGCCATTTGATTAGCTAGAATTCAATAAAGAAATGTTTTGTTTTACTAATTAACAACACCAGTTAAAAGCAACAATTATTGTAGTATTATTATAGCTAGAAACATTTTAATAGATAGCAATATTTGACTCGTTAGCAACACAACCATACAAATTAGACATAAAAAAAAATATTTACAATTTTTATGTTCATAAATATTAAATGTACAATTAGATATATTATGGAATGAAATTCCATTTGTACTTTTGGAAAATTTGTTTTATGAAACATCCATGATAGTTGAACTTGATGAGGATAAGGTTATTAATCTATGGATACGATTCATTCGAAGCGTCATTTAGAAACTTCATAATTTGTTCAATTGACAACACTTTTGGCTTTTTTTGTTTTTTTTTTAAATGCCTTCATATATTTGCAACGTACTCTTCAACATCGAATATGTTGACCACAGTGACGATGCCTTCAGATTTTTCGACTAAAAAATTAGAACATTTATTTTTTAAAAGCATAAGCTTCTTACCTTCATAGATAACAAAGCCTTATCTTTCCCAAAAAACGCTAGCATTGATTGTTTCCCCATTGACAAAATTGTTCAAAAGTTCATATAAGTTCATATTTTTCTTTTATCTTAGATGGAAGCAGATTTTGAGTCGCTTCTCTCGCGGCTTCCAAAATACCCTCATTTTGTTCAAAAAACACTCATCTTTCGACAAAATTCTGTTTTTATTTAATTTGTTGTCATGCGTTGCTACGGTTTTCTTTTCATAAGCAACTATGTTAAAGATTGTAAAAAACAATTTTTGTTAAAATATTAGTTTTCCACTTTTTCCATTAAGGATACGAGTTTAACAAAACTCGTAAGAAAAGTTCGTTTAGTAATATTTTTTCCACATTTAAAAATAGTTGTGGTTTCCTTACCTTACTTTTAGCAGATCCTCTAAGGTATTTTGGACATTTTTTAATTATTGTTTGTAAATAACTGCAGTTTTTCTTAACTTCTTTATTAGACGAATATAACCAAAGAAACTGTTGTCCAGAAATAAAACGTTTATTTTTTGTAATTCTAAAACAATCCTTTGATTGGCAAGCCGTCAAAGGATAATAAATTAAAGTATCGATCGACTAGTGTCGCAAGCCTACAGGGCTATGGCCCCAGAGCTCCCCCTTAATCCAGGGCCGTCGAATGTCGACGAAAACGAAGTTTAATTTGCAGAAAAATCGACTTAATTATTTTGCAGAATATCGCATTCCGGGCACGGCCGCTCCCGACGGCAGCTGCACCTTCGCCTACCGCAGCTCGAGCAAAAAGCGCGGCGAGTTCAACTCGCCCCGCTATCCTTCCAACTACCCGAGCGACACCAACTGCACGTACACCTTCCTGGCCACCAACAACGAGCAAGTCACGCTGGTCTTCGACAACTTCAAGGTCCGCGCCGACTCGGCCAACTCCACCATCGGCTCCTATGGGTGAGAAATTATTATGGTGTATTGTAAAAAAAAATCCACAAGGGCTTTCATAAAATATACTTTTCAAGAACCCTTAAAACCAATATACTGCCACAAAGCTAAATAGGCCTTACGAGTCTCTTGAGTAAATATGGTTTTATAATGGAATAAATGATTATAATGGAATAAATGACATCCCATAATAAAGCAAAGTTAAAACTTACTAGTGTTATAGGCGTTATGGATTTAAAAGTAGGTTTTGTTGTGTCTAATAAAGCTTTTCATTAAAATTCTTTAATATTACTAGTAATATGCTTCTAAGAACAATTAACATTTGTGATAACTGCCATAAACCCAAACATCTTTTCAGCGAGTGTGATAATGCTTTGATATAATATTTAGGTAAAAGCCAAGAGTCACATGTGTTACTTGGGATAAGATAAGAGCACACTAAGATTACACTCGAGTCAATCCATATGAAAACGCCGAAACTCGTTGCTCGACCATCTTGGATTTTGCTCAAATTTTATAGAAATATTCATTATGGTCCCATAGGACAAAATCCACCCTTATTTAATTTTTCGCATGTGTCAAATCCGACCTATTCGAATTAAAACTTTTTAAAAACGTCATTTATATGCTTTAATAATTTAAGTTGTAATTTTTTTTCTATTAAATATATTTTAAATTTTAGATGTCATTTTAAAGTTAAAAAATAGTAGTTTTTATAAAAAAATATAAATTTACTTAATCAATATTTCTAAATAATTACACGGTGCTGAAAAAACGTGTATTTTACAATTTTTCCTGTTTTTTTAAATGCGTCCCATGTTTTGGCTTTTTAATATGAACATGAACATAAGTACCAAAAACAAAATAAAACTTACAATTGACCCGTTTGGCATACGGTTTCCAAACAAAAATTTGCTTAAAATTTTGAAATTCTAGAAAATCGCATTATTTAGGCCATTATATGAGGATGTTGACTTCCAAATAGAATTATGAAATTTACAATATAATTAGTCCCTACCTTGATGTTCAAATGCCTGGTAGTTTGGTTTTGTTATTTTCATCTTTGAAGCTTATACAGTAGCTTTAAAAGAAGAAAAATATTGAAATATTAAAAAGTCGCATTATTTCATCCATTTTATGACTTCAATTTAGAAATATGAAATTAACAGGATATTTAGTCCTTACCTTGAAATTTAAATGCCTATTTAACTTGTTTTGATATTTTCATCCATTTTGCTTTTACATGGGCTTTAAAAGGACCAAACATATTGAAATTTAAAAAACGAATATTGTTTAATTTTATATTCTAAGAATGTGTTGACTTCAAGATAGAAACATAAAACTTACAGGATATTTAGTCCTTACTATGATGTTTAAATGACTGTTTGGCTTATGCATGCATATGCATATTTATGTAGGTACTTATATGCATATAACTTATGCGATTTTTTTAAATTTTATTATATTTTTGCTGCTTTTAAAGCATCTGTAAATATAAAAAAGGCAAAATGAGCTATACAAGCTTTTAAACTTTTTGATAAGGACTAAATTTCCTGTACGTTTTATCTAGAAGTTAACATTCATATGATAAAGCATAAAATGATGCGTTTTTTTAATTTTCCATTTGTTAGCCTTTTTTAAAGTCTATGTAAAATCAAAATGGATGAAAATATCAAAACAAGTCAAATAGGCATTTCATTTTCAAGGTAAGGCCTAAATATCCTGTTATTGTCATATTTCTATATTAATGTCAACATATATAATGAATGAAATAATGCGACTTTTTATTATTTCAATATTTTTCTCCTTTTAAAGCTACTGTATAAGCTTTAAAGATGAAAATAACAAAACCAAACTACCAGGCATTTAAACATTAAGGTAGGGGCTAATTATCCTGTAAATTTCATAATTCTATTTCAACATCCTCATATAATGGCCTAAATAATGCGATTTTTTAGAATTTTAAAATTTCAAGCAAATTTTTTTTTGGAAACCGTATGCCATACGGGTCAATTGTGAGATTTATTTTGTCTTTGATATGTAAACTTAATATATAAAAAAATTAGTTGTTCATTTTAAACAGCCAAAACATGGGACGCATTTAAAAAAACAGGAAAAATTAGTAAAATACAGGTTTTTTCAGCACCGTTTATTATTATTTAGAAACATTAATTAAGTAAATTTAATTTTTTGTATAAAAACTACTATTTTTTAGCTTTAAAATGACATCTTAAAATTTAAAATATCTTTAATAGAAAAAAAATACAGCTTAAATTGAGACCTTTCAGAGCAAAATCAACAATCTCCCGTCAGACTAAAACTGAGTAAATTGAGATAATTGATTTTGGTATTTTAAATTCTAGATTTGTAATTTTTTTTATATATTATATTTAAATATTGTTGTTGTTAGTCTAGTAGCAAACTACAAGGTCTCCAGGATGCATAGTATAGGTGAAATCTATAATTATAAATTCGAGATTGCTGACTTTGATATGAATTGCTGGAGATTACTCATTTTGTTGTAAACGTTTAAGGAGATTTAGAAAAATAAAAAAAAATAATAATTATTGTATTGTTTTCCTTTAATGGTTATAAAATTTAACCATACAATCAATGTGGGAAAATTCTGAACTGGACCACATAAATCTGGGGTTTCTTCTAAATCTGGGACCAGGTTGCCTCGTGCAAAAAAGTTTTTATAGTACAACAACTTATCATCTTCTTTCCACTTTGCCCCGTAATGTTTTACTTGCAATGTTTTGACATTATCAGCCTTTTCTTGCTTTACCTTTACGTCTTATAATAGCACAAAATAAACAAGATAACATTTTTTATTATTCTTAAAATAATAAAACGTATATATACCTATGTTAAATATATTTTTAAGTGCCATTTACTGCAATAGAACTTAACAGTATGTACCATTAAAAAACACAAAATTAAATCTCTAAAATACGTTATAACATCAAATGTTATGATATCAGGTGACACAAATTATTAATTTCTAATGGTGGAATTGGAGATTGTATACTTTGCTACAAATCTATCAGTGGAGATTGTCGACTTTGCACTAAATGTCATTTTTAAAATAGGATTTTAGGCAGGATTTAGCTCCTTTTGCAGCACATAAACTTTATCATCTTATAGATAATTAGTTGAAGTACAGTCTCCGCCAAAAATGTAATTTTTGACCAAAAGTGGAGATTGTCGGTTTTGCTATGTCAGACCTTGGGATAAGATAAGAGCGCACTAAGATTACACGAGTTGAAGAGCACAATTTCTTGTTCGCAGAGTTCACGTGTGTCAGGAAGACTGGCTGGAGATCTACAACATGTACCGCGACGGCACCGAGAAGATGGTGGGCCGGTACTGCGGCCTGACGGCCCCCGGGCCCATCGAGTCGAACCGCGGCGCGACCGGGCTGAAGATCGTCCTGCACGCCGACTCGGAGCTGGTGTACAGCGGCTTCAGGGCGCGCTACAGCTTCGAGACGGCCAAGAGCATCTTCGGCGACTGCGGCGGCAACGTGAGCAGCCTGGACGCGGGCGTCGTCGAGAGTCCGCAGTACCCGGCGGATTACGAGGCGCCGGCCAAGGGGATGGCCTCGAAGAGCTGCCACTGGTACGTCACGGTGCGGCCCAAGTACAAGATCCTGCTCAATTTCGAGAGGTTTGCCGTCGAGGGAGACCCAGTCGGTAAGAAAGATTGTATTTTTCATTTTTTTTGTGTTTAGACCTCTTACGTTTTGATAATATATATTTATATCCTGTAGTAATATTTGCGATAAAACGTTGGGCATTAATGATGTCCCAAATGTTGTTAAGAATAATTTAAACCATGGTTTAAATTATTCTTAACATCATTTATATACTTTAGACTAACATTCTCTCCATTTTCTATATAATTTTTTATTTTAAAATATACTTCTAACAATAACAAAATTTACTTAGGAGGTTTGGTCGATATGAGAAAATGCTAAAAAAAATTCTAGGTTTTAGTAGAGGCTGTTTAAATATATTTACAAAGTTTTAAAAAGATTTACTGTTATCCATTATTATTGCTATACTGTGTTGTGAATATTGACAAAAATTTATATGCCAATTCTACAATAAGATTTTTTACTTGCATACAATACATACATACCGCATTTTCATTTGAAACATATACACTCGAGTGAAGCCGAGTGGATGTACTATGCTCCACACCTCAAAGTCTTTTGTAAATTTGGCATTTAAGGCTTTTCAGGTTATGTATCCGTCAAAGTATAGTCAACTAAAGAAATAATATTATATTTAGGCGTTAAAATATAAATTATAAATCTTTATAACATTACAATAACAATGGATGGTTTAAGAATTTAAGAATATAAACACTGCATTTAATGAAATTCTAAAGTGTATGGTGCCAAATAAGTAATATTTTTGTGCATTTGGTCCAAATATCTGGTTTTCTCCATAAAATAATTTTAACTAAACAGCATTTATTAAAAAAAATCTAGCTTCTCTATTATGGAATAAGAATATCTGTTTTAAGGGTAGGTTAATATATTATAACAAAATATCATCTTATTTTGTAATTTTAAGGTTAGAAAAATTTATTTTGACCAAAATAAATAAGTATTTTGGATTATTTAAAAGACTGTATAATATGGTATTTAAAAATGTGGTCGTTTTTCTTATCAAGCTTAAAGTGTACCTACATAAAGTTTTGTCAATACAAATAGTTAAAAAGCTTCGACTAAACTTGATCTACATCGAAAAATCATTATAACTTAAAAAAATTTAATAAATCAGATGTTATGGGAGTATTAAATATTTTCACATTGCAAGTTTCTCTAAAAATTGTTTGTTTTCTTATAATCTAACTTAAAGTAGGTATGCCGAGAGGTATGCACAAGTTTTGTCATTAGAAGTATAAAAGCTTCAATTTAATTTGAACCATATTCAACAATTATTTAGTATACCTATATTTATTTATGACCAACACACTCTTCCAAATAATCCACTTATTTATTTTGGTCAAAATAAAGATTTATTAACTTTTAACGCTTAAACATATTATTTTTAACGCTTAAAAATATTATTTCTTTCATTGACTATACTTTGACAGATACATAACCTGAAAAGCCTTAAATGCCAAATTTTCAAAAGACTGCGTTCCGTACGTGGTCACGTGGTGGGACTTTGAGGTGTGGAGCATAGTACCTCCCCAGATGCCCCTCCCCAGATTGCGGATTTCTATAGGCGACGAATCAGTTATAATTTGCATTTGCTAGTGTGTATTTCAAGCTTTTTAACATAAATCAGTTTCTTTTATTTAAAATTATAAATTATCATGCAAGAGAAAATTAACATGATAAGCTGGTCTTTAGTGGGCAATTCTCTACGTCAAATGTCGCACCCGTTACATTTTGAGAAAATTTCAGAAAATAAAGTATACAATTTTTGTGCATTTAAAATACGTGCTTGTTTAAGGTTACTATTCAAGTTTTACACAAAAAATTATTACTATATGCTTTTATCCAAAATTTTACAATCAACTTTAGAAACCAACTTGGTCGCATTTGCCGATTTTCTAAGGTCGCGCCCGTTACGCTATTCATGACGTTATAAAAGGTTTTCTATACAAGTTTTTATTGACATTTTGTTTAAGTTAAATACCTAATTTTTCATACTATTTTTTTATATTAACGTACCTTGATATATATGAACAAACACTTTATTATCATGAAAAAACGCAGTTTTAGTGTCGCACCCGTTACAATGGAAATAAGATTTTTAAATAACATTGCATATAGAACTGTCACTGCCACCCTCAAAAGCGAAAAGCGTTACCATAGAAACCAACATGCATTAAGTTCAACTCTAATAATTTAAATTTAGGTTACTGTTTTAAAATAATGTTTGTAGTTTTATTTTTAATTGTAAGTTTCTGTAAAACTTTGTAGTGTTATTGTTAATTTAGTTTATTAAAAACACATTCTTGATTTGTTGCTCTAAATTTCTAAGATTGAATTAATTTATTAAAATTGTATGGTTTACATTTACTATCAAATCAAATAAATCCTATTTACGTTTTTAAATAACGTTCTTGCCAATAAATATTTAGTGCCTTTTAAAAATTAATTTCAACTAAAATCTCGGCGTCTCATTGGACAAAAAATATCTTCAATTTTTCCCTAGTTTTGCACTACTTAAATCTATTTATTTACATCAAACTTCAAGCAGCAGATACATTGTTTGAGTCAAACGGGGCACGCTAATTTATAAACGAGAAGAAAAACCGAGCCACTCTGTCGCAGAAGTCGGCAAATAGACCGAGCGTCGCATACAAAGTGGAAATTTAATGGCGGGTTAAGTTTCCAAACTGGAAAGTTTTCATTTTCGCGGGCTAAGTAATGAGAATCCTGTTTGCCGAGAGAAAGGGGGGGGAGAGGAAAAAAGAGCAAAGCCAAACGTTATTTCTCTTCTTGCTCATTTAACCGTGAAACTTGCACTGGAAAACTATTTACTATTTGAGAACTTAAGTCAAAGGCCCTGATGCCTCAGGCCCAAACCACAGTTTAACTAACAGTCTGAAAGGGACAAAAATTCTTTACATTTCCAATATTTCCTTTTATAATGGGGTAGTTAAATTTTTTCTGACCTATACTTTTTATGGTTTTATTCAAGGCGTTTTGTAATTTTAAACATTTCTGTGAAATCGGAATTTCAATTGAGTTTACCGTTTTCGAGATATTTACAAAAAATATAAATTTTTATGACGTCACAAACCTCGCCATGTGACCAACATTCTAAGATTTCTATTGGTTGAAAATTACCCTGTTGTCAAGTTGTCTTGTTAATGATTTCATTCGGTTATGTCAGAAAATACCCGAAGAGGTTATGTACAAATACTGTCACTGTCAGTTGAGTGAAAGATGGACACCCAATTCATTAAGGGTATGTTCCGTAAGTCAACTTGGTTGGTTTGGTTTCGGTTAAGGTGTCCCGTAAATGAAAAATTCCTGAAAATTATGTAGTTAAGAAACGCGGTTCCTGAAAAATAGGTTAACCAATCGTTACCGAAACGACCGACGCTGTATGATCGGTTAAATCGGTTACCAGTGCTGCAAACCAAATGGAAACAGTGTTGCCCTAAACAAAATTACTGTTTTTTGTTGGTTATCTAACCTAAAAATTTAACACAGGAGCAGACTTCGCATACAAAATACGTTTTGTCCAAAAATAATTGAATTCAGTATATAGGGTGTTTTAGGTTTGTTTATGTAACTATAGAAATATTATTAAAAATATATGCAAGTTGTAGTTTTTGACACAAATAAAAGTTTCAATAAAAAAGTAAGGGTTGGGTTATGTTTTTTCAAATAAAGGTGTCCCGTAAATATGAACTAACCACAGACCTAACACAGGTCTGTGGAACTAACCGAGAAAACCAGGAATTTATTTCAGTAACCAGACCGGTAACTCGTGTGTATTTACGGAACATACCCTTAGTACCTATCTTCCTTATTACGAGGTTTCATATTACTGTTTGATATTTTAGAGTCCAAGATATATCTAAAAGAATATAAAGAACTAGGCATTATACTAATGAAATGCATTTACGACAAAATATGATTATAATTATAGGTACTTACTTTATTTGTTTAAAAGCTCCAATGTTCAATGTAACCAACCATTCCACAAGATTCCTCTGCTGTGGAGTCCGTTATTAATTAATCACTTATCTAATATCAATTACAAATAACATAACAATAACATTGATTTTCAATAATCTAAATTTAAAAAAAAAACAACCCGAAAAAAGAAACGTCAAAAAATCAATTCTTCTTCTTCTTCTCAACTAAAATTATGGATCAAGTGGTTTTAAAACTAAAATATTATAACGTGGCGCCATCTATCGTAAGAATCTTAAACTAAACAAACTGGCAACCATAGAAAAAGCTGGCAACGTTGTCAATAGCCTAGTGACGTAATTAGGAGATTTTTTTTGTAAATATCTCGAAAACGGTAAACTCAATTGAAATTCCGATTTCACAGAAATGTTTAAAATTACAAAACGCCTTGAATAAAACCATAAAAAGTATAGGTCAGAAAAAATTTAACTACCCCATTGTTACCACAACAGTTGAATCAACACTTTAATGTGAACTTTTTTTAGCTCGAGGTTGTCCTGCGGCAGTTTTAAGATTTTGGAACGACCTGACAGGACTTCCTGTGGAATTATGCGGAGAAAAAGGTGCCACTGATAAGTGGCAATACCTTTCAGTATCCAATGCAATTCGATTTAGGTAAGTAAACATTTTTTTAATACGAGGGGTGTTCAGAAAATAACGGGAATTGTTAAATTACGCCGGTTTTCATAAAGCCGCTAAGGTTAGACGTGTTTTATGAGCTCGGCGATTTTTCGTTCGTTAAAAGAAGTGGATCAAAGAATTTGTATCCAATTTTGCTTAAAAAATTAAATAAATTCTGTGAAATGTTAACAAAGGCCTATAGTGAGTCTGCTATAAGTAAAACAAGAGTTTACAAGTGGTATAAGAGTTTCCAAGATGGCCGTGAAGACGTTAAAGATGACGAACGCCTCGAACGCACAAGCACATTAACAACCGATAAAAACATGGAAAAAGTGGAAGAAATGGTTATAAACCATCAGAGAAGTCGCTGATGATGTTGGTATATCGATTGGCTCATCCCATGATATTTTTTCGAATGTTTTGGGTATGAAACGCTTGGCAGAAAAATTTGTTCTAAAATTGTTAAATTTTGAACAAAATTTTTGGCCAAAAACAATACTGTAATGATGCCCCAGCCTCCATATTCGCCAGACATGCCTCTCTCTGACTTTTTCCCATTCCCAAAAATAACGTGAATCTTAAAGGGCCATCGTTTTGCAAGCATAGATGGCATTAAAAGCGCATCGCTGAAAGAACTAAAGGCTATCCCAAAGATCGAGTTTTAGAAGTGTTTCGAGTATTATACTAGAAGAAGAGCTGGCACATGTGCATAATATCCAATGGGGACTATTTTGAAGGCGACAACATTAATGTAGACAAATAAATAAATATTTTTTCAAAAAACGAAAATTCCCGATATTTTCTGAACACACCTTGTATCTGTTACAGCATTTTTAACACGCCAATTTATCACCTATGATAGTTTTACAAACTTTTTTTCCTAACATTAAGTACTCTAGCTTAGTTTAACTAATTTTGAGGCGCCGATTTCAAAAATTTCATTAGTTTTTCTCTAGGACGTCTAGGATTTAAAATAATTTTGTATTAAAATTCTCTGCTCAATCACCTCAAAATGTAAGTTTTTTGTTGGTATTTTAATTATTTATTACATTATTTTGGCTTAAATTTATCTTAAATGTACTAAAGTAATTGGAATACGGCAAATAGATCATATTTATCTTAACAATATCACATTTTAAATACTAAAACTAAAATTTTATGAAAAAAAAACAACCATTATTTGACATTTTTTGTCGTTTATTTTAATTAATAAATTGAAAGGGCAACAAAGTAAACAAGTTTTAGTATTTTTTAACCAAATTAAGCCCTCAAAATTTAATGCATTGCATAATTTTGCTTTTTTCTACCTTAAATTTATTAAATCGTATCAAATGTCAAATTGGATTATAGTATTATTGTGCTTAATCCTCATCATCGTCGTACATCTTTTGCTGCAAATTCCAGAAAATGTCTCCTAGCAATGAATCCAACTTCTTTCCTCTATACCCATAGATATCTACCAATGCTCTAAATTTGCAGTTACTTGGTGAAATCGTTCTCCATGTTTATCAGTTCGGCAAATTTATCAGGATAAAAAAAGAACAGGTATTTTAAATGACATATTAACGCTAATTCTTTGCAAAATGACAAGCATTTTTTCAATGAATTGGCGCCAATTTTAGGCCCGATATGAACCAACAACATTTTCAATGACAGCTTTAACACTGAAATATGCCATAAGCATTTTGAATGCTTAATCTTTCATTAAACGTCGTATATCAGGTTCATTTAATATTCCTGCAAAATTAAAGAGTACGTATATCTCATAAAATTTTGTAATGAAATATTTAATAAATAATCAAAATACCTATTAACAAAAAACTTACATTTTGAGATAATTGGGCAGAGCATTTTATTACGCAATTATTTCGAATCCTAGACGTCCTGGAACAAAACGAGTGGCATTTTTGAAATCAGCAGCCCAAAATTAGGTAATATATTACCTATTTTGGTTATATATAGGTGGGCGTACTCAATGTTAGTAAATGAAACCATCATAGTGTGATGAATGATGACGAAAACCAATAATTTAAAAACTATTAAGCTGAAAAAAATATAAAAAATAAATAACAAATAATAAAACAAGACCTACCTAATAATTTACCCAAACCAACTATTTTAGCAGTTATTTCAGTTTACCTAAACATGGTATGTATATGTGCGGATTCCATGAATAGAATTTAATTGCAGCATTCCAAACCCTTTATTGGTCACATAAACTATTATCAAAACAAACAAGCACTAAATATTACTTCTCCCCTTTAAAATATATACCTACTACTCTTTTGTGTGAAACAGTTTAAATTTATAGGTACTGTTGAATGAAAATTTCCTTTAACAATATTGGACCCTGTATTGATAATTATATTGGCCTTGAACGTTAATATTAATTAATATTGGACATTTGTTTGCAAGTTGAGCATCATGATGCCAGAATTGAAAATATTTTTTAACCTTGTTTCCACATCTAAATGGTGCATTTAAAAAAAAAATCAACATTGACCCCTGTGGTTTTCAGGCCTTAAGTCACTCTACTGTGTTAAAAATAGATAAATTTCGATATTTTGTAATAACATTTTTAATTAAAAACGTATCGATTTTAATAAAATGTAGACCTTATTAACGGCAATAAATCCACGTATTATTTTTTTAGATTTTAACATACAGAGGGCGCTAGGGACAATTTAATTTAAAATTTTACTATTTTTTAAGGTTTTATAATTTTGAGTTATGTAATTAATGTTATATATTAAAATACTGAATACCTTTTGACATAAGGAATAAAGGAAAAATATTTAAAAAAACATTTCTCCAAAAATGAAGAAAAAATATGCATTAGAAGTTTTTTATATTTTTTGTGATACGCCACTGGTTACACACTTGGTTTATCTCTGCCCACTTGTATTTTGTGAGTACATAGATACCAACCAACAAAGTAGCTATGCGTTGCCAGATGTAAAAAATTGTTACTAAAAATTTTTCTTGCAAAAAATAAATAAAAACTTAATAAATACAAAAGTTTTATGCCCTTAAAGCTCTAATACCCTTCTGTATTTATTTACTGATCCAGCTATTAGCTTAAGCAATGATTAGAAAATTTAGTACCTTTGAAATTTGAAATCCATAACCACAAAATTAATTTTTTCATCAGTTTTTTTCTCTGTTTACTCAGATGAAATTGGGACCAGTTCACAGGTTAAACTTTAAACATTTAATTTTTGTAAATAAATCCAAAAGCACTTCCCTTAGTTAAGATATTTACAATTTAAAATCATAACCTAAAATTTAAAAGAAATGCACTAGATTCTGTCATAAAAGTTGGCAGATTTTGTTTGAATTTACCTTCAGTACAAAAATGACATACCGTAAACTGAGGCTACTTTGAACGGTTTTTACCCTCAACTGCCGATATTTCCTTTACCGTTACTGTTTTTTAATTTTTTTTTCTTCTATATTTGGGGGACTTGTGCCCTCTAGAGAATTGGAATTTATTTTTATTTTTCAATAATTAATTACATATTTTTGAAACTTTTTTTTAGGTGTTCAAAGTACTTTGAACACGCATATAAATGCCGTATTTTTTCAATGTAGCCCCACACAAAGGGGCTTCATTGAACAGTATTCCAAAGTTATCAAGTCAATAAGTCATTGGAAATTAGTCAATTGGTCATAATTAATGGACAACTTCTAAACTTTGTTATTTTATGTTATATTACTGATCTGTCCAGTACTACCAACATAACAACAAAATTGTCAAGCCATGTTGCCAACCTATATTCTAAGCACAGCTGAACAAACCTACAGCGGAGTTAGACCTAAGTGATTATTATCTTAGGTATATTGTTACCTTAAAACAAAATTGTTATTTTGTTCAATGTTACCCCCCAGTTCAAAGTAGCCCCAGTTTACGGTAACCAACAATTAATAAAAACGCCAAATTGACAATTTGCATTATTAATTTTGTCATTTTTGTAATTAAGCTAAATTTAAACAATGTTTGTCAACTTTTTTGAGAGATTTTGGAAACACTGTTGTAACCAACCATAACATAATAATAAATCCACCAGATTAACCTAAAGTTCCTAGTCGATACGTGGCGTACTTTTTGGTAGGATAAAGGTTATTATAAATTATTTTTAGACTTTGGAATTTAGAAAAAAAAAGTTTCAGGTGCTTCTTTATGGACCCTAAGGAACAACCCATTTTAATATATAACATTAATTACATAACACCCTGTATATCAAGTTAAAGTTTAAAATTTTTTTGAACTTTTTGTTGAACTCCTATTTTGTGAATTCCTACATGCTGTTTTCCGTTTCTGTAGTCTACAAAATGCGTGGACTTCAAAAAACTAATTGAATTGAATTTTACAAATAAACAACCATTACCAATAGCTATCAAATCCCAGTTTTCTTGATAAAAGCATTGTTTTGTTTTCTTTTTTTTTTAGTTTCGTAATAGCCGACAAGGCAGTGGGGGCTCAGGGTTTCAAGGCCGTCTGGACGGAGGTGCTGGAAGGTCCCAGCTGCGACGAGTTTCAATGCGAACAGAGCGGTTTCTGCATACCGGACAAGCTGCGCTGCAACCAGGTTAACAACTGCGGGCACGAGGACACGTCGGACGAGGCCAACTGTGAGTGACTGTTGTTATTTGACACCGGGTGACTTTGATCTCAAACCGATTATTACGATCCCGCCAATCCCCTGCACTGTAGTTAGTTTGAAGTAGATTAGTTTAGATTAGCAGATAGATCTTATAGTTTCCCCCATGGTGCAATAAAACAAGGTATGTTCTTCAGTAGGACGAATTTTGGTTCACTTTGCGCACCACCCAGTTACCGCCATCTTAGTTTATTACCTCCTTTGAATTTAAATGATGTTTTAAATTTAAATATTATTCTCTTATGAAATTCATCGAAATTTCTATAAAATTATTTGATTTTTAGATAAAATTGTCGAATAATTATCCAAGTCACAATATTAACATTTTATATGGTTTTTTAATTAATATATTGTAAAGATTTCTCCTTACACCAGGTTCGTTAAAACAAGTTTTATGAAAAATTAATAAATGAACTATGTTGTGACTATGGCTCGTGATCGTCTTACCAAAATTTGGACCTCTACGTTGTGGTTACCTGTTACTTGTTTTATTAAATACATTGCTTTAAGAATCATACTTAGGAGAATAAGGTATACAAAAAAATAAAATACAGTGTTTAGTTTACCCCAATTTAATTTACTTTACAAACAGTTTAAAAAAACAAGGGGTGGCTCTTAGGGAGATACGACCAGGGAAAAAGAGCTTGAGAAAAAACCCGGTTCGGCTATGAAGTAGCAAAGGATTACACGATTAGGCATTGTTTCTTTTAAAAGTTTATTCAAATCAATGGAATGACACGAGGCTCGTTACGCTGTCTAACCCCTACAGGTTCAAAAATAGGAAACACGTTGTTAGTTTAACAGGGCAGTTAACTGTTAGTCTGTCAACGTTAACGTGCCCTGTGGAGAACGAGGTCCACACTGGAAGCAACTCGCGTAAAGTTGAAGGTTCGGGATAAAAGTTGCGATGCCACCTAGAGAACCTAGGTGACCATTTATCCCTCACGGAGGGGAGCATTTTAGTATCTACTGCAAACTACGTACTAAAGAAAAAGGAGCATTCAAAGTTTAAAATTAACGGTCAATACTCCCTTCTAAGCAACGAAACGCCCTGTATTACACTAATATTTGTTTTAAAATTACCGCAAAAAAAATGCATAATCGTGTTGGGGAAGGTCTAAACATTTGAGTTACTGGGACAGTATACAACTAAATTAAGCCTAAGACAATAAAAGAAAGGAATATAAATTTCTACATTCAGCAGTAAACTTAAAAGGCAAAAACATTTTATAAAAATAGCTAAAACAAAAGGTGTTAATATCGAGTAAAATTCACTAAACGCACTAGTGCAAAATAACTAATGCTCAGTTTATTTAAATCTAAATCGTCCTACGTTTAGTGGACTTTACTACATAATTGGGCTACTAAAATTAAGAACTAACCTGGGAGAATACACAAACACTTGTAACAATTATTTAAACAGAACTTTACAATAAATTTCGTTTTAGTAAAAATGTATAAGAGCCGATGTGTGTTTTCAAACGCTTTCTGCCGCTTTCTTTTCTACCTTTCCCAAGTTTTGATATTGTTTTCGCCTCATCTGGTCAACAGATTTTTTCACATTTCAGGCAAAATTTCGGTCTTTGTATTTTCTTTACCTAATCGTTCGTTTTTTACCTCTTTTGCAAAGGTCTTTTACATTTTACAACACAATTTAAAAATTATAAACTTATTCAAAAATAAATTTGTAAAACGTATTAAAGTACTGAACCATTACAATATTAAAATGGCTTTTTTTCTAAATTCAAAAGACTAATTTAATTTATAATAACCTTTATCCTACCAAAAAGAACGCCACTGATCGTCTAGGAACGTTAGGCTAATCTGGTTACCTAATTTAATTTATTATGTTTTGGTTGGTAGCAACCAGCGTTTCCAGATTCTGTAAAAAAGTTTTGTTTTGTTTAAATTTAGCATAATTACAAAAATGACAAAATCAACAATGCAAAATGTTAATTTGGCGTTTTTATTAATTGTTGATTATGTAATTTTGCACCGTTTTCTCTAAGTGATCAGTTAAATGAACTGACAAGTTAAAAGGTAACAGAAGATTAGTGTCCACAATCTTGCACCGTAATTTTTTTACTATGGTTTAAAATTTAACTAGTGATCTAGGGAATTTGACTAAAAAGATTGGTGCTAATAACTAACTTCACACTTATTTGTGACGCAAACATATTTTGACGTTAAGAGTTCGATTCTTTATAATCTGTGTTTCGATTCTATTTCATGTACGACCGATTCAGTTGATGGTAAGAGAGAATAATATGGATACAGACCCTGAAAAAAAAGGGGCGCTCCTTAAATTTTTTAGAAAATGAAAAAAAATCATTTAATTAATCTTAATACATGGGTATCATTGAAAACAAAGAGACAGATAGGGTTAAAACAATTAGAGCAGGAAATTAACAATAAAAAGGATGTAAAATTCGCAAATCTGATGGAGTGGTGGAAAGAAATGCGCAAGAACATAGCTTGTTTTCTTGTACCTTGGTTGCCCCTTGTGTTCGTGTGTTAATTTTTTATACAGTATATTTCAACTTGAAAAATATTCTTAAAAATGCACTGCCTATACCTTAGTTTTATTTATATTGTTATTACTTTATTGGCTATTTAAATAAATAAATTATTTTGGTTTTTGAATTTGGTTTTTATTTTTTAAATTTTTATCGAAATTTCCTTTTTAAAAAAGTATTGATTTGCTAGTTGAAACACTTTTAAATGTGGTGTTTTTATGAAGGGTATTTTTTGTTGTATGATTGTAAAGTATTGCCAATACAAAGTGTCACCAAATAAGTTTTCATCCTTTACTTTTTTTGGCGTTAGTGCCATTTTTTTATAAAAAAAAAAATTTATAAGTATACATTTTTCGCCGCCACTGATTGTTCCTGACCTACGACAACTGACGCAAGATTAAGATTAAATTTTGAAGAGTGAATTAAATTAAATTGTTTGTCAATTAACTTGAAACTTTAAAATATCTCAGTTAGTATGCATTTTACGAAAAAATGTTTAAAATAAAAAATAAATGATTCGAGGGGGAAATCAATCAGTACTAAAATTTGTTCTCATACTCTCCTCCTTATAGGGGGAACAGGGGGTAACTTTAAAATTTCCAATAGAACACTCTATTTTTTATTGCAGATTCAGATCATTCTACTAAAAGTAGGTTGATTTTGTCTAAAACATTTTTTCATATTTGTAATAGATGGCGCTGTAATGAAAAAAAAACAATTTTGTTCAATTTTTTCTTCTGTATACGATTCTGCAATAATTTTTCTACAAAAATATCAATTTTTTGGTAATAATTATCATATTAAATTAAATCTGATTTTTTAAGTACCAACGATTTTTTAACTAATATTTAAGTTTCCTTTGGTTTAGGTTTCATACATTATTTCATTCGGTGATAATTATTAATTGCGCACCATGGTTACTTTTTACCTGCCAGCATTAAATCCTTTAATTTAAAGGATTATTGTACTATTTTTAATAAAAATACCTCATTTAAGCTAAAAAAAAACATTATTTTGTCAATTAATTAATTTAATCCCAATTTAGGTATAAAAAATGGTATTTAGTTATAAATAATAATTATTTTGAGGTATAAAGAAACCATTTATAGTTTAGCATGCATTATTTAATCAATTTAGTTCGAAGATTAATTTGCAAACAAAAAGACCTCCTTTCGTTAAGCAGTTATTCATAATGGACTTTTTAACAGTGGAAGAAAAAATTGAAATAATTTTGATTTATGGAGAAGCAGGAAGGAATCTTGATGATGCTGTTAATATCTACGCTCAGCGTTTTCCGGATAAAATTCGATCACGTACTTCATTTTACCGCACAGTCAAGCAGTTTACTACAAACGGGAGTGTTCAACCGAAAAAAAGAGTTCGTCGAGCAACAGTCACAGGTGGAAATAATGAAATTAATGTATTAGCAGCAACGGCCGCTAATCCTCATGCAAGCACACGAGAATTATCTAGAGATTTTGGAATATCCCAGAGCAGTGTTAGCAGAATATTAAAACGAAATGCGAATTAATAAATGCATTGAAGTCGAAGGCCACCATTTTGAGCAGCTATTAAAAAATTAAATTAGAAAATAAAACCAATTTTCTTATAAAAAAATTGTTGGAGAATCGCACACAGAAGAAAAATCGAACAAAATTGTTTTTTTTTCATTACAGCGCCATCTATTACAAATATGAAAAAATGTTTTAGACAAATTTTTTTCGTAAAATGCATACTAACTGAGATATTTCAAACTTTCAAGTTTAATGACTCCCCCTGTATATTGGTCAATGACATACAGTGGCTCCCTTGTTTTGCCAAAAAAATTTGATAATTTTTTTATTTAAAAACAGTAACAGGTGACAGGTGATAGGTAACAGGTGACACTCTGTATAAGAAAAATAAAATAATTTTTTTTATTGGCAATATTTTAAAGAGTGTGATGTTTTTGGAGTGGTGGCAGGTTGGTGAGTACTACGTTCTTTTAATGCAGTTATAGCACGCGGTGGTCAAAACTAAAGTATAGGACGAACAAAATTGCCAACCAAAACTGATAGCATAATCTGATTATAGTCTCTTTTGGTAATACAAAAATGTATTTATCAAAATCCCAGCTGATCCTTTATTAAAGTTTTGCATATTTCTTAGGATTTTAGAATTGTTTATGCCATTTCGATAAAATACTCTATAGTACATTATCAAATGTTTTTAAAAATTTGGCAGATACATGACTGAAATATGGATAAATTACATTATAAATACAAAATAATGTAAAATACAGTTTGCAATATCTTATTTATTGTTTTAAGGTACCTAATACCAGTAGTGTCCGACCGAATGTCAGTTTTTGGCCGAAGCCGAAGCCGAAGGTTCGGCTCTTGTTGTAACCTTCGGCCGAAGCCGAAGCCGAAGGTTTAATAAGACTAAAAAATTGACTTGACTAAACTAAAAAAAA